TATGTTGCCTATGATGCTTTCTAAAGGTTTAAGTTTGGTTTGTTCTTTGTACATTATAGTTTCAGACAGTTCAATATCGTTTTGACTATATTGTCATAATGTATTCTATCTACTTTCTGTTTCAGGTTCAATGAGTTTTCTGATGGTGTCTTATTGGCTTATGGTGTTAATGTTCTTGATAAAAATGAAAAAAACTCTTTCCGGGGTTCATCCTTATTTTGGTGTGAGACGAAGGGCAGATCTCATACTTTTCTCTCCAAAGCCAGATGTGCTGTTAGGTAGTGTGGATGAGCATGATTCTTCATTTTTATAACGTGGAGTCATATTGCTTACTTCTTATTACTTACTATTGTCTAATATGTACATCAACCATTTGAAGTGAAATGAATGGTTGCGATTTTAAGTGCAATATGTAAAACTTATATGTAAGTGGATCTTTGTTATATATATATTTCTCTCTTCTTCTTCTTCTTATTATTTTTAACCAGAAGGAAAGGTAATGAAACTTACTCAAGAATCCATTCATGTCATCGTTCTTGGTTTTTCTGCTGCCACTATAACAGCTGAAAACATTCGTTCGGAATTTAAATATAAAAGTGTGAGTACCAGTTCTGTACATCATTGAAGTTTGATAAATTCGATGTTCTATTTTGTTGGAACACTGCATTCATGTCCTTATTTACCTCCATAAGTCACGGTGAAGATCAATTTGCTAGCAGATCTCACAAGTGACATGTCATGAAGGCTGGAACAAGGATACGTTTTGTAGTCAAGAGGTGACAATTTCATTTAAATAGGCAAATTTAGTGTAGTTCTTATTCAGCTGAGAAATGCATGTTTATATATTCCTCCAATTAATTCTCATGGATGCACCGTACTGGCTTAATGAGGTAATCAGACATAGTTCCGGTGATTCTTTCTTACCAGTCTTGGTCTTTTTGGTATTTCAATGAAGCAGGAAACTTGAGGATACTTTGAGAAGATTGTGTTTGACGAGGAATCTTTTGTTCTAATCCTTTGCAGTTTTGATGAGGAAACACTTCACATTTTTGGGTCTCTGATGCCTGCTCACACAGGAGGCATTCATTGGTTGGATAGGAATTCAAAAGATGTTTCCGTACTTGATAGGTATATTAACTTGAACATGGAAGTCTTGGAATGTTTTATCTAGACGTTTCTAACTCTGATTTTGTGCAACCCTGCAGTAGTACAAAGAAGAGGAAGGATGAGGATGGACAGATTCCAGAGCATAGAGGCTAGGAAGCATTTTCCTTGGATGATCATAATTATGTTAAAGCGTCAAAGAAACAAAGAACCTTAGAAGATGCTGCAAAATTCTAATGTCCATTTATGTTCACGTAATGTATTCATCACTTCCCTATGTTCTCTCCACAAAAACTTTCAATATCTTCTTAACTGGTATAAAGAGGGTAGAGTCCACTCTACATTCTTCCTTTATTTCTCGTTTATTTTTATCTCTTAAAATGAACATGACTTCATGGTAATTTTGTAAATACTTTGATCTTTAAAAGTATTTTGGTGAGTAAAAGTTTTAAATTGAATAATGGCAATTGGTGTAAAATTTGTAAAATTTTATCTATTTTGTAAATGCATTTTACTTAATTTATATCTTTTTTTCATTTGTGAGGAATTTTTTTTTGTCTTTATTTCTTTGAAGCTATTTTTGTAACAGTTGTTTTTTTATTTTATATATTTATGTGAAAACATTTTTTTAATTTAATCTTAGAATTAATTATGTTTTAAATCAAATAAATTAAGTTTAATAAAAGAATTTTAGTTTTATAAATTTTTACTACAGAATATTAAAAGATCTCTTAAACTTATTAAAATATCCATAAATAATTATTTAACATCACATTTTTTTCTACATATTGTATGTTATTATCTACTTTTAATAATAATTTTTTTTCTTCATTTAAAAGACAAATAGATCCCAATAACCCACAATGAATATGGTCGGTTCTTTATTTGGTATTCAATTGCAATTTCTTTTGCCTGTGCAGATGGCACAAACCTGTAGGAAAGAAGGTCCACAAAGCTAGAAAGAGGCCGGAACAAATGGCTTTCCATCATGAAAGAAAAGATTTCTAGCAAGGAACGAAACCTGTGTTCCCAAATGATGTTCAGCTCTTCACAATCACACATTTTACCTTAGGAAGAGAAAAGCTGTTTGTAATTCGTACTCTTGTATTACTTACCTACCAGGATTCATTTTTATAAGCCAGGAGATTTTCGAGGTAACCTCCTATTGAGGAAACAAGCCTATTTATGTTCCTCCAGTCTAAGGTAGGCCCTTTGGACTTTAATGGAATGCCTAAGTGGACTGAAATGCTCCCTGATAAATATCTCTAATAACAAATCTGGTTTGAAAGGAGGAGGGGAAAGGAAAGAAGAGAAAAACTTATTGTATCTCATTAAATTAATTTATTGACTCAACAACTTAATTCGATTGATGAAAATAAAATATCTCTGATAACAAATCTAGTTTGAAGGGAGGAGAGGAAAGGAAAGAAGAGAAAAACTTATTGTATCTCATTAAATTAATTTATTGACTCAACAACTTAATTTGATTGATGGAAATAAAATATCTCTAATAACAAATCTGGTTTAAAGAGAGAAGGGTAAAGGAAAAAAGAGAAAAACTTATTGTATCTCATTAAATTAATTTATTGACTCAACAACTTAATTTGATTAATGAAAATAAAATATCTCTAATAACAAATCTAGTTTAAAGAGAGGAGGGTAAAGGAAAAAAGAGAAAAACTTATTGTATCTCATTAAATTAATTTATTGACTCAACAATTTAATTTGATTGATGGAAATAAGGCTACCTTACCTCCCATTTCCTTTCCTCCGTCTCTCTCAAACGAAACGAACTATTAAGGCCTTATACCTAGACCTTTGAAATGAGATTATTGCGTAAGCACATTTCTTCTATGAAAATTTACAGGTGGATGGATAGTCTTGATCACTGAAATCTGTACAGTGCCCTACAATATCATGATCTTGAGTGGAATTCTTTATAATATCTCCATGGCAGCCACTTTTGAGCAAAGCAACAGCTAAGCCGAAACATGTGTCGACGGTGTGTGGCCTCTGCACGTCGGATTCTGCAAATCTGATTTGTTTATGCAATGAAGAAAGTGGAAGACATCTGATATTTGGTTAGTCAATCATTTTAACAGTGGATTTTGGGAAGAGACTTCGAGTACGTACATATATTCTATTGTGCTCGCCATATACTACCACTCTCATCATGGAATTGAAATCGCTTCAATCATGACTCTTTTCATCATTATCAGCCGGTATGGGGTTTCTTTCAAAAAAACAATAAATATTTTTTTGAAAGGTATGGAGGGGGGAGAACATGAGGTTTTCAGGTTGGTAGATGATTCTTATTTTCTCGTATTCCATCAAGTTTCTCTTCCACATGTGAGTGTTGCATTATTTTAACCACAAGAAAACAGAGAAGATTATGACAATTTTCCCCGCATAATTAGGCTTCCTAACATGCTCTTGATCAATGTAAGAAAATATTTGGTTCTTTAATTTCTTGTATTAAGTAGATGGGATTGTTCCTTAAATCCCTTTCAATAAAATCAAAAATGTCAGCAAGTGTTTGAGCAAAAGGACATGAGGATTAAAGGGGTTCAACTTCGAATCTTTGTTTGGTTTACCTTTCATTCATATACATATCTGATATTTATAGACATTTCTCTAAGTTCATGTTCTTAATGGATCTTCAAAGATATGGGGCTAATACTATTTTATATAAAAGAGTTGAGAAGGAAATTAAGGCCGGGCAGGTTTTATTATTATTATTATTTATAATTTGTGGTGATTTATATATAAACTTCAATAAAATAAATTTAAACTTTTAATACTAACTTTGGTTCGCACATACTTAAACCATTAAATCAATACTTCATTGATCAATTTTGAAAAAACCTTTCATTTAAGTATTTGATTAAAGGGCAAGATTAACACGTTTCCAAATTAATTGCATTAGGACCTCTTAAGAAAAGCTTTGATTCTTGCTAATAATTATTTTAAAACACAAAAGTCACGTATACCCCAAAAGACAGGGTAAAAGATACTGCAGAGATAACATGTGCTGTATAATGTTAGTACCATATATTGATTAACAAGTGAACTTCAATCCAAGAAAAAAAAAACATGTAGCAATAAAAATGCTGCCACTATTAATTAAATTTCTGTATCGTTATTGTCTTCAATTTATCCAAATTCAAATATTTTAAATACATGGGACGGCTGATATGGTGAGGCACTAATTGAGAATAGCTAATTTATAAACACTTCAATATAAAATTAATAGATACAATATAATTCTAATCCAAATTTATATAGCTTATAGCTACCATGATCCATCTTATACATAGAGAAATTGAAGAAATTATTTGTGTCAATCATTTGATGAAATGATTAAGGTTAGAAAATTTTAGAAGTTTGGTTAGCGTAATTTTGACCCACCTAAAACTTGCAAGTCAGATTAACATAATTTTGTTCTCAATGATCATTTAGTTGGTAGTTAAAACTTCTTTTTACATATAATAATACTTCCGTTGAAAATTCGAATTTGCAATAGCTATCGGCCCTTCGTGCTTCTCCAAGGACAGCTAGCGTTAGTATTAATTTGTTCTGGGATCGGATAGCTGAAGTAGCTGCTGCGAATGCTTGGGGCAGGGAAGTAGTTGCCTGTTTGGTGAAACTTTTTAGAGTTTTTATTTTTTTAATGTTGTTTATAAGTCTTAAGTTTAAATTTTTATTAAATAAAAAATTTAAAAATTACTTTTAAAAATAATTAAAAAAATGAGTAAAAATGAAAATTTTAAAAGTAAAAATTTAAAATTTTTTAAAATTTATTATTTAAGATCTTTTTAAAATTAAAAAAAAATTAAAAACTATAAGTTTTTAAAAGGTAAATTTAAAATTATGAAACATAAATAGTATCAAAAAGTTGAAGTACTTATAAATTTTACCAAACATACTCTTAGTAGTAGGGGTAGTGTTTGGTGGTACAGATTCCTTGCAATTGATCAAACTCGAAAAATATGATTTAGAGCATGTTTAATGAAACTGTTAAGAGTTTTTATTCTTTTTTTGTACTGTTTATGAGTAATAAATTTAAATTTGATTGGATGAAAATTTTAAAAATTACTTTTAGAAATATAAAAAAGTGAGTAAGAAGTGAGTAAAAAAAAGTTTATAAAAAGTATAAATTTAAAGTTTTTTAAAATTTACTGTTTAAAATTTTTTTAAGGTTAAAAAGAAATTTAAAAATTAAAGTTTTTTAAAAAAAAATTTAAATTTATGAAATATGAATAGTGTGGAAAACTGAAATTCTTACAAGTTTCACTAAACATACCCTTAATTTTTCCATATTGTAAGAAAAAAATAATAATAACTATTCATTGGAATCAATGGGCTATCTTCCAATCAAGATTTAGGATTGTTTGGTTCAACTTCTAAGTGTTTCAGTTTTTTTGACACTATTCATATTTTATGAGTTTGGATTTTTCTTTTAAAAACTTACATTTTTATTTTTTTTAGCCTTAAAAATACTTTAAATTGAAATTTTAAAAAGTTTCAAATTTTTGCTTTTTGAAAACTTCCCTTTTACTCACATTTTATTCTTTTTAAAAGTAATTTTTAAATTTTTTTTTCAATAAAAAATTAAACTTATGAAATATAAATAATATAAAAAAACTGAAACATTTATAAATTTTACCAAATATACTCTTAGTGGTTTCAGACGCTATGGATTCTCCATTCTCCACTGTCCAAACATTTCTGGTCTGTAAAGATAAAACTGCCAGAGTTTGGACATTTCTATAAAAAATGGCAGAAGCTGTGATTTGTAGTTAGGATTAGAAAATTATCCAAACGGAACTCCTTTTGTTGATCCCCTACGTAAGAAAGACATAAAGATTTTTTTTTTTTTTTCTTTTTCTGGCTTTTCTTTTTAGTATTTGCTTTAACTGCATGTCTAGTTTGTATGGTAGTGTCCATCTATCTGTACTATCTTTCCCCTTTTGCTGCACATACTGCTTTTTATGTTGTTTGTGGCTTACAACTTGTGCCAATGATGTTGTCCGTGCACGTATGGGTATCTTCAACTGTATTCAGTGCTAGGGAAATTATGTATCTTATCCCCTATTTGGTTATGAAAGAACCAGAGGAGAAAATGAAAGAATGTTATGTTCATATCAATTTCCTTCTATATATTTCCCTTCTCTTCCTGGATTTTCTATGGTTAGATTAAAATATAAACAAAATTAAAGCAAAATTCTCTCCTTTTCTTTCTTCTCCCCTCTAATTTTTTGTTAATCAAGATTTCTCTCCCTTTCTTCAAACTAAATAAGTGCCTACTTTTTGCACCAGTTTCTAAAACATTTTTT